GAAGATTTTCAAAGTACGATAGACCTCGAAGACTACCGATGATCTGACGAGGTACTTCGAAGATGCCCGAAATATCCACCCAAAGCCTTCCTGAAAAGACTACCGACGGTCATCCGAGGTACTTCGAAGATACCAGAAATATCCACCCGAAGCCTTCCTGAAAAGCTTTGTCGATCGTCGAAAAGATTTTTTAGAGTTCTTTTGCCATATAATTATTTGGTTCCTCAAGTGAAAATTTTGGCCTAATTGTTTCAGTTTGTTTGTTTTCAAACAAAATATAAAAAAGTATCAAGAGGGTTTGTGATATTTGGATAAATCATCGAGAATTTCCAGATAGATGCTTAGGCGCTTTTGCGTGGCTCTGTGGTTAGGCCTAAACAAAACAAGGAAGAAGAGACCAAAACAAAACTAACAAAACAACAAATATCAGCAAGATATATCATTTCACGTCTGGTAATCTTGGCGCCATTTTTGATCGATGCTTAACACATCAAATCAAGCTTTAATCTTCTTACTGTATATTATCTCACAATAAGCTGGTAGTGAGTGGCATGGAACTAACTGCGCGCTGTAAGGCCTTGCACGACAGGGGTTCAAGATTAAGAAAAAAGCTTTATAAAGTTTTAAATGGGGTAGGGTTCACTAGGGACTTGCTGAGTTTTCAAAGTTCTTGCTGTATATCAAGGTCGCCTTCTTTTCCCGCATTTAGACTTTAGACTTTACTGACCAAAATAAAAACATACGACGAAAAGCATTTTCAGCGGCAGCGACAAGACTGTGAAACAATATCTATGAAAAGATCGATTCCGTTGATATTAAAAAAAATGAACGAACAAAGGCATCTTTTTAAAACAAGCCATTTAACATACTTTCCGTTTAATTTTTCTAAGACGGACATTTGCCAAAACAGTTAACTTCTTAAAGAATCAGATGAAATTCTTGATTTCAGTTGAAATCTATGTTGCTGCCACATATGTGCGGCTCTTCATTGCCCTGTTGTCAGTGGTCCATGGATGGAAAACTAGTCAGATATCGTTTATTCTAACACGACGCAACATGACCTGATGAAACACGAACTGATACTTCACAGCGTTTCGTGCAATAAGCGATACCTTCCCTTGCTGTTGTACACTTGACAATTGACTGGAAAAATAAATATACCATTGAACCTCGACCATGGTCTCGTTATTTTCGGTGAGGGCGGTGGAAGATGCGCTCGCTACATCCGGGGGTCGCCATTTTCGGGATTTATTGGTGGGCAAATTTTTTCAACGTTAATTTCGCGGGGCGTTACTTTCAGAATTCTACAGTTTTATTTTGTCACAAGTAACTTTGAGCCGCTTTCTAAGTCCGTAATAAAAGGCAGTCTGTGAGATTTGATTTCCTCACAGTAAATGTCCGCCTTATGTTATGGATCATATCATTTGAACGTTTAATCTCAAACCATGGAAAAAAATATTGGGTCGTTTATCCTTTCCGGTCAGTTAATGGCTTTTTGCGCCACTCTCTAGCGCAAGGAGTTATTTATTTGTTTATTTAAACAATTTTCCAAAGGCAGGCGAGACGCAACAGAATATTTCGTCCCCTGAAAGGCGTGTCACTCTTACCCAGCTCACAAATTGTAAAAACAAATTAAAATTAGGTCAAGTCGCATCAGCAACATAAAGGTTTGAAGTACTGTAAATACCTTTCAAATGTACAGGGTATATGCCTTTACGAGCTTTATAATCACGCTCCGAGAGTGATGAAATAAAATAAAGTTACTAACTTAACGTCAAGAAGTGACAAACACTTACGGATGTTGTCTTTCACTTGTTTTGTGGCGTGTCGTAGCTTCACCCGGGGTTTGACGCAGCGCCGGTTGGTTATTGCTTCATATACAGGCAGAACGTGCAAGAGAGACACTCTCTGAAATTTGGCAACCCAAGTTGAAAATAGATCATATTCGTATTCCCGGTATTGGACTGGAACTAGCTTGCAACTGAGGCTAATGCAAATGACATTAATATCTTTTTAATAATATTCCCATGCATGTCTAATAGGCCCTTTGCACGATCCGGTCACATGGTACAGAATAAATTATGCTGAGACGCAAGTTACACAGTGGGACTTCCAAACCAAAGGAACTCGTACCAGTCCAGCCCGACCCTCCTTTGTTTTAGAAGTCCCACTGTGTAACTTGCGTCCCAGCATAATTTATTCCGTACCAGGTGACCGGATCGTGCAAAGGGCCTATTCTTCAAGACCAATTGCAACCGAACAGACAAATAAGGTCTCAATCAAATGCCGACAAAAGTAAATGATAGTCTGAATCTTTGAGTTTGTTTATTCGACTCTTTCGCTGCACAAACATACCTTAATGACCTTTTTAGATATAGTTCTAGGAAAACGGAAACCGGCTTTTTTGACTACCTACATATATTTGTTTTTAAAACGATCTTTATTAATTTTTCACAAATGCCGACATATATGAATGTGTGTGCTTGCTTTGACCAAACTTGCATAACACTCGTCAGTTCAAGAGGCATTTTGTTGTGGTTGTAATTTTTTTTTTTTCCTGAAGGAATTTGCACTAAAATCGAATAAGACGACAGGAAACTTTGTTACATTTTCAATTACTGTTGCAATTACTGTAATCTTCTTCAGACTCCCAGTTCTGGGCTTGTTTTGATAAGAAGGGCTTCTTTGATGGTCCTTATTTCTTACTTAGGCTTGATTACCAAGAGCTTGGACGATATTTCCGAGTCCCAGGCACTTGAAACTAACTCGAGAAGACCTTCTCCTTAAGTGAAATCGACAAGCGAAAAATAATCGAAAGCTTGGTTATGTCCGTGCTGGCCGAAATATAGCCTCTGTTAAACTTACCCAGACACTAGAAAGAAGCACTCAGAGACCGGCCTGCGCACACTTTGATTTTGACCTACCTAGACTTGATTTCCAAGAACTTGGACGATATTTCCGAGTCTCAGGGACTTGAAACTAATTCGAGAAGACCTTGTCCTTCCGTGAAATCGACAAGCGAAAAATAATCAAAAGCTTGGTTATGAACATGCTGGCCGAAATATAGCTCCTGTTAAACTTACTCAGACACTGGAAAGAAGCAGAGACCAGGCTGCGCAGACGTTGATTTCCACCCACTTAGGCTTGATTTCCAAGAGCTTTGACGTTTTCTTCGAGTCCCAGGGACTTGGAACTAACTCAAGACCACCTTGTCCTTTAATGAAATCGACAAGCGAAAAATAATCGAAAGCTTGGTTATGTGCATCGCGGCCTAAATATAGCTTACTCAAACTGTGGGCTAATTATTTTTGCGACCATTTTGAGCTGTGATCACCGTGCCTAGGACTGAAAAAAAAATTTGGCAACAGTAGTTGACTCCCCCGGGGGGATACTCCCAGAAAAATTGGGTGGGGGTGTGCGGCCCGCTTCCCAAAACCCTTACTCTATTTATGACCAAAATCTGCGATATTATCTACCCTATTTATGACCTGACCAAAAATTCGAAACCTTATTTATGACCTGACCCTTAAATCAAAACCCTGTTTCAGACCTGCTTTACAATTAGTTCCCTAGTGCAGACCAGTGTCAAATTACCGTAAACGTAATTTGTGAAGGATTTTTGATTTTCTTTTCGATGATGATGAAAAAGTGGCTTCTTCTTAAAAACATACCCATATCAAGGCTAGAGTGCAAAACCCATACCCTATTTATGACCAAAATGGCCAAAATCAGCTGAAATCGATACCCTATTTATGACCAAAACGGCTGAAAAACAATACCCTTTGGGGCCGCACATACCTATATAGCCCTTATATGGGAGTAACCCCCCCTTCCCGGGGTTGACTCCTGGTAGAAATTAAATACAATCGGAAATTATTAATTTGAGAAAATTACATGCGGAAGTTTAACACAAGTAGCCCAGCATGGATGCTTCCTTCAACGAGCTGAGGACGAGCGAGATTCGGTGTCGGTCGGGAATAGTCGGGATCAATCGTTTTCTTCCGAAAAAGATTTCGGAAGGATTTCCCAAGGAACCCAGACTTCTTTGCAATCACTTTCCCGTACATGAGAGGGGAAGGAATTCTGGTTTCCAGGGGAAGGGTAGCTTCCTTGATAGACTTTTTCCCCATAAGAATTAATAGATAATTTCATGGTTGTGTAGTTACCTTTTGAGTCGTTGTCTCTGTTCTCTCGACGAGCGATTTAGCAGACTAATGTATGCTAGAGCACTAAATTTCAGTGCATTTGTTATAGATCCTTCGAATTTTGTAACCAATTAAACTTTTAGCCAAATTTCCATTAGTTCATAGACATTGAATTTTTTGTATAACTTTCGTAATAGCGTAAGTTATAATTTTTTGAGACCGAACTTCCACATGCAACGATAAATTGCAGAGTAAAATGGATAGAGCAAAGCTACCTTGTCTTCTATATTTGTATGCTACTGTATACAACTTAAAACATCAAATGTAATAGCTGTCGTCCATTGAATTTCAGTCTAAAATTGTCAGTTTTCAGGGTCACTTTTGTGGCAAATTGGCAAAGCGCCAAGTTACACAGTTAAATTAAAAGAAAGGAATGAATTAAATCAGAAATCACCAGAGATCTATAAAAGGAAACGAAAGATAAACATTGAAAATTTGAGAGTGCGAGATGAACTCGCTATTTTTAAGTACTTGCGAGTCTAGAAGGGTATACACAAGGAGGTGCAAGGAGTTTCTATTTCAATGATCGCATATTTTTCCTGTTTAAAAAGTATGAAAAATCACTACGTTGCTACACTTTCCCCTTACGTCTGACAGCTGTTCGGCTGTTTCCTACGCGTTCTTTTAACCTTCAGCTGTGCAGAAGAGTTCAAAGGGATCCGATGGAACTGATCTCGTTAAAGAAACAAACTGTACCCAGTCTCAGCTCACAATGGACTGCGAGGATTTCACCCTCGCCAACATAAGTCGTCAGGGAAGCAACGCATGCAAAAGGAAACAGTGCTAAGTCAGCCATTTTGGACGGATTTTTACGTCTCTCTTTCTCACTCTACATTTTATTGAACTTTGCAATCAGTTCCAAACTGAAACTTAAATTTTATAAATAGCTACATTATTTACTTCTCCCGTGATCTTCCACGACGAAACACACAGACTCGACAGAATAGGATTTGAAATAGGAGAAGTATTGTAAAAAAAAAGAAAAATCAAGTTAATATAATGTAAAAATTAAAGCTAGAGTAACTAAAATCGCAGGCTATTATGTACACGTGGTGTATCGCATCACGAATCGTCCTCCGCCTTCACTTTCTTTGCAGTGGGTTCTTCATCATCAAATCGCGTGTGTGTTGCTTTCGTTTCGTCCTCGTTTCCCTCGCTTTGTTTTTTCGTCTGTGGTCTGTCGATGTTTCGTCGTTTTCGACCTCCTCCGCGACCCCATCTACCCCCTTGTTCACCCTTGAAATACTTCCCTGCAAAACATAACGAAACAAAAAGTTTCGCTCTTAAAATTGATTCACTACAAGAGACTTCTGTGCGCCCTGTTTTGAAAGGCGATACGTTGCGGAAAGCGTAAACAGCATCGTGAAGAATCTAACAAAAATTGTCCTTCACAGCTGTTATTAAGATCGTCAAGCAACGCTTCATCCCAGCATGGTTTTGTACATGTATGTCAAGGCAAAGTCAAAAGAAATCTGTGAAGAAAAATATTTTCCTTCTTTATCAGAAAAATGCTAACGTCGTTCGAGATTCAAGGCTAATTGTCTCAGAAAAATGCGTGTCTACCCCCAGTTTTCTTTGTGGATTCCAATAGCCCTTGCTAAGATCTACTTTTTCTATATGGTCCTAATCTGGTGAAAGACTTGTGTATTTAGAAGGCACAACAAAAATGGAAAACGCCGAGTTTTCATTAGTTATGACTGAGGAAATACAACAATTATCTTAAAACCGTGGATTCCTGCAGACAAAAGTGGGTTTTGCACATTTAATTAGGAAATAGCCCGAAGAAAATACGCGCGCTGACTGGTTAAAAATCGTGTTTCTATTAAACAATTAGATTATGAGTTCGAGATTTCTATCGCGTGAGTTGACGAAGGCGCAGCCCGAGTCAACTATCACGCATAGAAATCGAGAGCGAATAATCTAATTGTTTTAGTATAAATCTACTAGTCGTTCAAAACTTTATTTAAATCCTCTTGACAGACACTTCGAAAATACCAAGAAGCGGCCGTCATTTTGTTAACAAGGGCACACTGCTACGCTAATCACTACCTATCACAGATATATGAGTAGCGCAGCCAATCAGAGCACGGCATTCGTGATAGAACGCTAGTAGATTTAAACTAAAACTCGATAGAAACACCGTACATGTTTCAAATTTCTTAAATATCATTTATGGCTGACTAAAACCACTACTTGAGACATTTTTTTCTGCGTTCTTTTAAGCGAGCAAGATCCACAGCTTCGCTTTAAAACAGGTCATGTTGATGGACCAATCACGGTATAGGAGTTCCTTAATTTCATAGCATTATAACAAGGGATTTTGAGTTACCTTTCTTTTGTCTTCCTTTGTCTTGTTGTTGTTTGGATTTAACCCAATAATCATTTTCCTCATCACCTTTAAAATAAACAAATGTACGCAAATAAACGAACAAATGAAGGAATGAGTGAAAGAAAAAATATTACAGCAATTTGTCACTAACAGGTTTATCTGTCTCCAAATAGGAGGATCAGGGAGGGTAAGTTAGAGTCACTAAATCGTGGTTACGTACCCTCTAGGACCCGGAGAGTTGATTCGACTTCTCTGATGAGTACTTTACCGTCGTTAGCTTCCTTCAAAGCATCCACAGCGCGCTGGGCTCCTCCTTCAGTGGAAAAGCGAACGAAACCCTACAAGGAAAGAGACCGAACATATAGGTAAAAAGGTAAAGTCTGCGTCAGGCCAGTAGCCCGTGCAGCCGGAGCTTATCCCGGTTTCCGTAGCATGAAGCGATTAGGAGTATTTATACTCTTCCTTGGATGGGATGCTAGTCCATCGCAGGGTTACCCCCAACATTAAATTCGGCAGTACCCATTTACAAACCTGGGCGGAGAGAGGCATTTTGAAAGTTAAGTGTCTTGCCCAAGAATACATGGTAATGACCTTGGCCAGGGTTCGAACCAGAAGCGCTTGATCCAGCGAGTTCAGCACGCTAACCATTAAGTCTGCCATAAATTAAGGACTTCTATAATGTTGTTTTTGAATCGCATTTTCTATTTAATGGTCGGCGCTCAAGGTTTTTTATCCACTTACAACTATGAAAGCTCACAGAACGTAAAAGCGAGCAGTTTAACTGTTGTAGCATAGCAGAGATGTTAACCTTTAAACACAAAACATCGCCGATTCAACTAATTTAAACGAAACATATCAAACACTAAAGACAGTATTTTACCACATTTCTTAACACCGAAGAGAGAGTTGAAAATACCACGCGAACTAAAATACCACGCTGTTTGGACATGCGATAAGACGCTTTGCCGAGTGTTTGATATATCTTCTCAATCAAAAGAAAGACTACGGAGAAAACAAGGAAAATACCCGTAAAAATCTATGGTAATTACGATCAGATATCAAAACACTGGGTGTCTTCACCATGTCCGTGGTTTTCAAAACCAATATTCAAAAAACAGTTTTAAACATGGGAAAAACAAAAAAATATGCTTAGAAAATAACTAAAAACGCCTAAATAAAAACTACCAAAATGTAGATAAAAGATGGGGCCATCCACAAAACAAATACGAACGGGCATTTACAGTTGTTAAATGAGAATTGAGAAGTAAGTTCTCCTGTAACGTCTGTTGAACTTTTCGTTAGTATCCTTTCAATATTGACGTTTGCATTTATTTAACCTCGCAGTCGATCAGAATTCGTACAAACCTCATTATCTCCTCTATTGAAATCAACCCAGGCGACTTCTTCCTTCTCACCAAACAGACTCTGTTGGTAGATACAAATGAAATCATAACATTGCCAGTCAAGGCAATACATGTAACTAGAAAACAAGCAAACACAACTACTTTACGTCCATCTTAAACAAAAACCACAATCAGTTTCATGCACGCTTGTAAAAACAAAAACTGGATTGTCTTGAGGAGGAATCGACGAGGATTAATGTTTTTCTCCAAAATCCACAAAGCCAAGCCAAAACTATCACATTCCTTTTAAAAAGTAAGCTACTTTTTGATCTTTTTGGCATTTTCCTAAGTCGGGGGTTAGTAGTAAAAATTAGCTTGAGAAGGATTGCCGTAGGATTAAGGCCTATATGAGGAATTACAGTAACTCTCGTACCCCTCTTCCTCACCAGGGCAGGAAAAAACCCAGGTCCGATTGCCCGGGGCAAGTAAATTTTGCTCTTGGGTAAGTGAAAATAGGAGTTCAGTAGCACGATGGCCACGTGAAATTAGCCTCAGTAGTCTAGTGAGTCTGAATGAAAATGTCAGCTTGATAAATGATAATTTCCAGCCAAAAGCTATTTCAAAACCTGCAAGATTAGTTAACCATTGAGTTGAATCCAAGCATACTCTGTTCGCATTTGTCCTCTGATTGCCGCCATGTCGGCAAGTAATATTTAAGTGGGGGCAAGTGAAAACTGAAATTTACTGGGTAAGTGGCTTTCAATTTTTTTTCCTGCCCTGCTCTCTTGATGTCAGCCATCACTAATGCTTATAACTGATTTAAAGAAAACAAAAAGTTACCCTGATATCCTCACGAGATGTCTGTTCTCCTACATTTTTGAAATGAAGCACGCATCCATGATCGTACTTGAAAGGTTCCTGCAAAATACAGTGTATGGAAAATTGCACATTAATTGTAAAGGAGTCTTCACAACAATAACAAACATTTTTTCCTCCCATGTAGAGGAGAAAGTACATATACATTGTACACAATTATATAACAGTGTGTAAGATGATTTAAACTTCCAAGTCTGTGGGTGAAACCCTATTGTGTGACCATTCAAATGAAAGCTATTGAGCAGTACTTTCATGTGGTACTGTTTATAATGCTGTACAAGGTGGTTTTAACTTTTTAAGTCTGGGGATGAAACCCTGGTGTGTGACCATTCAAATGAAAGCTACTGAGCAGTACTTTCATGTGGTACTTTTTATTATCCTGTACAAGGTGGTGCTAACTTTTAAGTCTGTGGATGAAACCCTAGTGTGTGACCATTCAAATGAAAGCTATTGAGCAGTACTTTCATGTGACACTGTTTATTATGAAAGTGAAGAATGATCATCGCAGTAAANTTTAAGTCTGTGGATGAAACCCTAGTGTGTGACCATTCAAATGAAAGCTATTGAGCAGTACTTTCATGTGACACTGTTTATTATGAAAGTGAAGAATGATCATCGCAGTAAATTTTCCAATTTATGCAATTGGAAAGAAGAAGCCTGAAAAAAATCAGGGCTTCAACGGGATTCGAACCCGTGACCTCCGCAGTACCGGTGCNGAGTTCATATCTTCCCGTGAGGAGTGAAATGATGTGGAGTATATATGAAATAATTCATATTTGAACTGCGAATTCAAATATGAATCATTCCATATATACTCCACACTGTTTATTATCCTGCACAAGGTGGTTTTTTTAGAACTTTTAAGTCTGCGGATGAAACCCTAGTGTGTGACCATTCAAATGAAAGCTATTGAGCAGTACTTTCATGTGGTACTGTACAAAGTGGATCTAACATCTTAGTTTCTGGATGGNGTCTGCGGATGAAACCCTAGTGTGTGACCATTCAAATGAAAGCTATTGAGCAGTACTTTCATGTGGTACTGTACAAAGTGGATCTAACATCTTAGTTTCTGGATGGTGTATACAAAGGTGTTGTTATTCACACTTGGGAGTATGTCCTGCACCTCTTTTTCTGCTTCCTTGTCTTTTCCTTCTTTTGATTCTTTCTCTCTAAAATGGTAAAATACAAAGTATTTAATACATTATTAAGGTCTCAAATGCCTGGCACATCACCTTGTTATTCAAAAAAGCACTGTTAAATTCATGCTTACTTTTTCTTCTCTTTATTTGCCTCTTCTTTATGCTGTGCTTTTTCTTTTCCCTTGTTCTTGAAATATTCATCCCTGCAGCACAATAATCAAGTGATGAGGAAATTTGAGAATAACTACCATATGTAACGTGTACACTGCCAGGATCACATACAAATTTCCCATGCAAACAACAATGGATGCAAAATTTTTCGATGACATGGCCAACTGCTGTGACATCAGTGATGCAGAAAGTCAACTCATACATGTATATCTCAGGGCCATACTGGAAGAATATCGACCTGTGGTCTTGACAGTACAGACCGAGTGCAGCAAGTTCCATACAGAAAAGACTGAGGGACTTTTGCATGATCTTACAATGTAGATGTAAGTTACAGTACCTACATGTATATTAAGAACTGTCAGCACTTTCCTTTGGCAGTATATGCACTACAGAGTACTTGTTAAGCACACTTAGATGTAGGCCACGTCCACACTAAACCAGAGAACTTTGAAAATGTAGCTGTATTTCCACACTAATCCATCATGAAAATGGAGCTTTTCAAAAACACTCTTCAAACTGGAGGAATTTTAAGATGCTGGTTTTACGTTTTAGTTTGGATGGAAAACATTCTGAAAATGAAGCTTTGCGATAATATTAAAGTTGATAATCTTGTGATTTCCCTGTGCAAGTCTTCCTCAAACACAAATCCAAAATGACCAGTGATTGCTGCGTTTTCGAATCTCTTCAAAGAAGTGTGGACAGAAACCATTCATTTTGAGGCTTTTTCAGTGTGAAAAACATAGTGTGGACAGGGCCTCAGATGATATATGTAGTAAAGAATTGTTCGGTGTTGTCGATAACTTACTTTGTCATTTTAATGAGCTCTTCTTCCTTGTACTTTAGAGACTCCCGGTCCACAACGGCTTTTGCTTCATCCACTGATGCAAATTCTACAAACACAGATCCTTTGAATATACGTTCCACGTCTTTTCTCATGATGATGGTAGTCACCTGTAAGTGTGAAAGGTACAACAAATAACACTTCAAGTAACAAGGCCAACACTTGTGTCACTGATGAATACATTTAAGAAAAGCTTTTTAAACTTGTTGCGTAACAACATTTTGACATCATCTCTGTTACAGTACAGACACACAGCAACATGGATTCTATCTGCTAATTAGCATTATTTCTACTATCCTTTGGATGGAATGCTATACATGTACATGTATCCATGTATAGACCACTGCTGGATTACCCCCCCTTCATCCCTCACCCCTTTTAAATTTGCTGGTACCCATTTATACAAGTCATGTGGGTGAAGAGAGGCCCCTTGAGAGTAACGTTTCTTCCCCCAGGTCCCTACACAACGACCCGGCCAAGGCTCAAACCAAGACCACTTGATCCTGGGAGTACAGCACTCCAAAGTCCTAGCCATAAGGTGCCCTGCCTCCCTTATGATAAAGAAAGTTCAGTTATTGCAATATCCACTTGACACTTGGTATACCTGTACATGCCGAGTGAAACATGACTGATTAAATTGTGACACTACAGTGTACATGTATATGTACAGTCTGTACCTTTCCTTTATCAGCAAAGAATTCCTCCAGTTGATCAAGGCTTGTATCTTTTGGAAATCCTTTCTGTATTCAAATAAAAAAATGTCAGTTAACCTACAGTGTTCAAAGTAAAGCCTTACACGCCACATAGCATGAAGAAGAGGAATGAAGAGAAGCTAAAACTAAGTAAAACACAGACAAATACATTAAGATGTGTACAAAATGTACAGGTGACATTCATATTGATCTGACTGTAAAACAAAAAACGTCCTCATCTCTTCAGTGACAATGGAATCAATTACTGGTGGTGAATAGCACTTGAAGAATTCTTTCTGAAGTCTCGGAAACCTGATCTAATTTCAAATTCTTGCAATCCTTTGTGATGAGTCACCAAGTCTTGATTTCCAGTGTTACTTTCTGTCTCAAAGTCTTAGTGAGTGTCTCAGTCCTGGATTTTTAAACCAGGTCTCAGCTTCCGCTTTCACCATTCAGCTGCCCTAGTACTGCTTCAATTTCTCCCAATAATTAACAACATGGCAGAACAAAATACATTAATTTTCTGTTTTCACTTTTGTGTCATTGTATTAACAGTACTACTACCAAATTCAACTGACAGAGAAAACAACAACAACAACAACAACAACAAAAACAGTGTTGACTGGTATATCTGGATAAATGCACTATCTGGGTAATGTTTTCAGGCTATAGCTAGCTACAGCTGTATCACAACCATCCTTTTTTTCCATACAAGTTTCACACTGTAGCTATAAGATTCAAAGTAAGCTCATTAACATTTTCATTCTCAGGTCTTAACAGTTTAGTTACAATGTAATTTGACAAATAACTTATTTTATAAATATTACTGCACCTTTCAATAAAATAAGTGCTAGGAAGTTCAAACCTGACTAACAATTGCTTTGTTTGGCTGCCGTCAATTGTTATTATGATGACAAACAATGAAATGGATCAAAATCTACATTTACATGTAACAAACAAAACCTACAGACATGAACTCTTAATTGAACTTGTTGAAGTACTGTAAACTACTGTTTCCTGTGAGGGCTGCTGAGATGAAGGGTTAAATGGCAAACGTTCCTTAAAAAACCATGGATTTGGTGAAATTTGTGTTCAATTTCACCAGTCTTGTAGTCTTGTTGTTTTAGCAGATATGCGCATCTTGCCGTCTTGATTTTTTCACAAAGCTGTCTCACAGTCTCGCTTTTTGGAAGGCTAGGAAGGTCTTACTGAAGTATTATTTTATTTCTTTGTTTTTCTTGTATAAATGATGTCTGAACATCTTGAGCTCGCATTTAAAACACTTGGCAGTCTCGCACTTGCACTTGAAGTAGTCAAAATGTCTCGGGCTTGCAAAAGAAAAAAGTCTCACACTTTAACATTCACAACCCCCTAGATGACTGATGACAGCAAAACATGAACTGTTCATTAAGCAGAGTTCACATGTTATAGAAAGGTGCAGTACATATACACGTAAGAAACATACACAATAAATAGTTCTGCTTTTAGCCTCCTGTCTTGCTTCCATAGAGTCCTTTGGCAGAGGCTTCGTAGTCACTCTTCTAACTTTTTTGTTGTCTTCACTGACCTGGAATATATATCATATTTTTCAATAAGCTCAAAATTTACCAAGTTTTTCTTGCTTTCCACATCGCTAATCCTAGCAATATAGAGGAAATACATCACAGAGTATGGAGCTAGTAAATGGCCTGGCTCACCAAGAATCACACCATAGCTTGCTAATCAGGGCAGATGCCCACATGTAGTATCTGAAAGATCATGGGTTCAAACACCCCGTACCCCCACCACCCTGTTGTGACTCAAAATTTTTCTTGTTTCAATGAAGCCATCACAGGACAGTGGTCAATCTGTTATGTGGGGGGTACCAGGAAGAGTTCCAGGGGCAATGTCATGTGCTTTGCTTGCAGTGCTTTGTTCACTTACTTGTTTGGATTTCCCTCCCTCCCTCCCCTTTAGGTACTAAGTAAATGTATATCTTCTATACACTGTTTCTTCACAGTGCTATGTTGACAGGTGCCTGACAGTGGGCTGTGTCTGGGTTGCCATGGTGACATTCTTGCTGCAGAGGAGATTACTGTTCTCCTCTTCTGCTACCTTTAAGGAACCTACCCTCCAATGTATCAGTTGGCTTAAGAGTTTAATTTGCCCTGTGTGTATAACGTAATGAATATATATCTCCGGCATAGTGTGGCCTCAGTGGCCTCAGTTTAGGGCAACTCATGATAGTAGATAATATTATAAAGGTGTTACCTTTAAAGGACAGTGTCGGTATATATACTGAATAGAGATTCACAGAAGATTGTTCACAAAATTGCACGAAATTTTTGGGAACAGCGCATTATCATTTGAAAAATCGCAGCGCATTTTTGGGAACAGCAAATCATTGCTTAAAAATTTGCAGCGGATTATCGAGCACAGCAAATTATTGTTCAAAAATTCACATGGACTGGCACAATAGGCATCACCAGAAAGGGGGAAATTTTTCTTGAAATATCATTTCCTGTAAAACTTCTTCAAAAAGCCCCAAAAACCCAGGAATTTTATCAAAATTTGCTTGCATTGTTTTTGCACAATTATACACAATGTACTGTAAATTACAAGAGAAATAACTGCTACAAACAAAATTTTACCTCAATTAGTCCAGAATCTGACTTTCTTAAAGCTTTAGCAATGACATCTGCATCTTCTGATAAGGCCTGAAAAAGAGGTTTTTACTAACCATTAAGTATTTTCACAGAAAATATAATGTTGAGAAAAATAAATAATTAATTACCTTTTGTAGCTTCAGACACCAAGTGTTTAGAGCCAAAGGCTAGTGGGGTTGAGTAATGAAATTTAGACCATTTAACACTTCTTATCTACATGTACATTTGCAAATTTTAAATTTATAAGTAAATCAAAAATCTCTCACCTTGAGTCTGTTAAAAGTTCCCAGGCACTCTAAGGTGACCCCTAGTGGCCATTATATGAAGTCAAGAAATTTAACATCAAACCTACATTTTTCAAGACATCCTGAAAATTGGGAACACGAAAGTGTCTATTTTAAATGTCAATATGTTTAGTCTCATGGTATTTAGGGCTGGTGCTCTGCACTGTTACTGGAGTTTACTTGTTTCCCTTTTTCAAACTGCAGCATGATGTGATTAAGAGTACTGCTGTCAGTGATATATGTAATCAAAGCCAATTTTGATATCTTAAAATTCTAGCTTTGCTCTGAGGCTTAGGGAAATGAAACAAATTCGAAGAACTAAATTATTTATCCCTCAACCTTGAAAGGAATTCTTTCGTTTTTTCCCCCTAGGCCTTGGAGCAAAGTAGTAATTTTAATATTGTTAGCCAAGCAGAAAGGGATGAGTCCCTCGGCCGGGACAAAACGAGCTGTGTAAGACTAGCCACAAACAATGTATTATCACAAGTAACTGTCAACTTTACTATCAATTTTCACTCGCGAATTTGTGCAGTCGGGAATCCTTATGCGATATAAGGTGAGATTGTTGTCATCATTTTCTTAGCTAATGGGACTTTGGGTACAATGCCCAACAAGTTTGCCAAGCAGAAAGGTCTCGGATGAGTCCCTTGGCTGGGACGAAACGAGCTGCGTAATGAACAATGTAATTTATCACTTGTCAAGTAACTGTCAGCTATGTTGAAATCAGTCTATTAAACTGCAAAGACTTGATTTACATCAAGTGTGCGAGGAGTATTACTTCTTTTAAGAACTCAAAGGGGATGCTTACTGGAGACAGGATGCTAAATGATTTCTTTTCTGACTTTCACATCCAACATGCTAATACTCAAAAAAAGAATTAGGTAGGCTTCAACCACATACATAGGGGTGCATACTGGTGCTGGGGCACTAGTTGGGATGGAGGTGCTTGTTAACAAAGTCATGTTCAAAGAGGGGTTCTTATTAGGAAGGGACACTTACATGTATAAAGCTAATGAAAATATGACTGGATTAATGAAAACAGTGTCAATGAAAACGCACTCTTTTGTCAACCCATATGAGCCACACACTTGGTGCAAAATGTTTGACTAGGGAAAGATTTTCCGTAACGCTTATATTTTTCATAAAATCAGTCCAGACATACATTTCTCTGGAACACAACTGAATGAGCTTGAAAGACTAAGAATGAGCATCTTGAAGTTCTGTAGGTCTGTATAATGCATTTGGAGTCTGAACAGGGCATTTCCTCATCATTTCTAACAATCTATGCCAAAATATGGATTTATGAAAATGGTGATTAACGAATAATACATTCCTTTGCACCAAGTGACCTGTGCATTGTGATTTTACAAATCCTCCATGCAAGGCCTAAAAATCACCCCGAGTGATGTAGAACAATACAAAAAGGAAGATAAGAGAGAGAGGCATTATTAGGATTCAACAGTTCAGGATACATCCATCATCTTCATCTGCTTTCTGTCTTAGAAATCTGTCCCTAGGAAGATTCTTGTCACCAAAATAATACTGCAATGAGAAGATTCCAACAAAAACAGAGAATGAGGTCAATATATATTTTAAATTAATTTTTCTAATGAGAATCGAAACCAAATTTATCTATAACATTCAGGGTAGAAGTACAGTGTCTAGGTTAAAGGTGTGAGTTATTACATGTGAAAAGTTTACATGTATGTTGTGTCAAAAAAGGAAATTAGTCACATAAAAGAAAAATAAACTACAACCACACAGAAGTTTCTTAAGTTTGGCAATTAGTCTGAGGCTATGACAATAAAAAGGATTTTCATTTTTTGTTTTTTAATTTTAGGAAAAACATAACCCAGAGATGGACTTGCGATGCAATATTTCCTCTATCTCACTGGTGGGAAAGAACACTTCAACAGCAGTCTCCCAGAAAAGTGGCGAGGTCTGCAAGCTGTTGCATTTCAGATACAGACACACGCATTGGGTGATTCCAAAATAACGGTGTAAGGTAAAATTATTAGACAGTTCTAATAAACAGTAGGGTTGCGTCAGCAGACAAATGAAACACTCAGCATTTAATGTTTTCAACTCAAGGTTGATAAAGGCCAACTCATGTTGTATTTATCGTAAGTTTGTGATGAAGATGTTTCGAGCGTTACCCATTTGTAAGAGCAAGGACTTGAACGTCACCTCGCTCACAACAGCACCTTTACAGTGTACAAACGACACCCCACTCCGGTCACCGTGGTCAATGTACTTTGTATTATATTTGGTCCTATTCTATTCATAATTGCAGTTCGTGTGAGAGGAAAACATGATAGAAACCGTAGGAATACTGTAGTTAAGTGTCAGGATATACTGTAAAGTTATGGAATCCGTTGATGCATGCAAAAAAGCTTTGTGAGAAGAATCAAATCAAAATGAAAGCTTGCGCACATGACTACATTTACGACTTTCCATGCACAAGAGTTAAGCTTAAATACCGACTCGGACAATAACAGAATAGCCTGCAAATCTTATTTCTGATGGAGTAAACAAGATATAAAAGTCCCCGAACGTCGTGTAATTGTTTTACTTACTTCAATTTGCTTGATAATCTTCTTTTCCAGGTCTGTCGCAGCTTCCGTGTGTCCATTCGTCGCATCGTTTTCAGCCATTTTGCAGGAATTTGTAAAATTTTTTGAATAAAACTCGGTTCAAAACTTATGATAACCTCAAAAGCAATTTGTTTGCGTATTAAAACCAGGTAAATAGAAACTAAAACGAAGAACTATTGACTGAAAAACTGCACGTGGAGTAGAATTGAACACTTTTCGGATTTCACCACATCTTATCATACACTTTGAAGTGACTAGCCGCTGACAAGTTAGGCTCAACTGAACGTTGTGTTACAACTAACGCGTGACGACGATGTAACGGTACAAAAATATGCTCCGACATTTGTCCGCGGCGCGGACATTATATGCTCCGAGAAACGAGTTTTGAGGAACCGATAATGTCCAGTGACAAATATCCGAGCATATTTTCGCTCCAAATGAGCTCAAATAGAGGCTATTGTGTTTATTATCCTAATATTTTTCGCAACACGCGCGGTTTTGAAAATTGGGGAATATCTCTCAGATTTTCCTCAGTTTTTGCTGGGAATATTGAGTCACGTGACGTGTTTAGACTAATCGCGCGCGAGGGAAAAGATTTGATGGATTATAACGGGAGGCTAATCTAATGCGCTAGAATAAGCCAATCAGAGCGCGCGTTATATCAAATATTATAAACGAAAACAAGCCACATGCAACGTGTCAACAAATCGTAGTTAATAGAGAGGGGACCACACGAAAAGAGTGGACTCTGTTAATACGTTATATCTGTCTGTAAAACTTCGGTTCATGTTCCTATAAAAATGTTGATTTTAGCAATAGACAAGAGTTGCGAGTCAGCCGAATAGAATCATCTCATAATCTTTAAATACTGCTTGCCATCACTTGATCTGCTTGAATACCACAGGACGATAAGGAAAACGTCACCTTCTAAAAAATTGAAAATTAATGAGGCAAAATATCAGTCACCGATTTATGGCCCAAGCGCTAAGCGCGCTGACCATAATTCGAAGGGGAAAAACGAGGATCCGTAACTTACAGTACGGATCCAGAAAACGAAGGATAGTAAGATATTTATTATATATCTACTGTGTGTCTGATGGGTTCGGGAACAATTTCTATCCATGCTATCCATGGCTTCACATTTCTGAACAGCTCGAAAGCAAAACGAGTCAATTGGAAATCGTTGTTAAGTGACTCTTAAGTCGTTAGCAGGTTTTAATACACAATTTCAGAGGTAAAAGAAAGCTTTAAACTTTTACTTGCTAAAAAGGTTAACAACACTTGGCGATAAATCACGAAACATTTTGGCAACAAAAACAGCTTTAAATTTAAGCAGGCCATAAGTAGAATACAGCCCGCTAAATTGACCAATAACAGCGCGCGTACTAACTGAGAGGTATAATAAAATATACAGTAGCAAACCCACCCAAGCAATCAAAATATGCAAAGTTACACGTTTACTCAAAGCAATCAGGTAGTACAACCGATTCAAGGAAACTGACAATATAATATACCCTTAGGATGTCTCCCTTAATTACGTGTTCCAGTCTTCCCAGGGGTGCTTGGGTTTACCTTTGCCATGTTTGCTGGCTACATGTATATAGTGCAGTCCTCTTAGAGTCACAGCCCAGTTCATTTTCTTCAATTTGCACATGTCAACTATAAGATCAACCGTAGTATTTCATCGACTACGAGTAGTCCCTCTTTCGCTTAGTCCTTCGTGCGTGACGCGAAAGAAAACCTCGAGGAAATGGCTACGCAAAGTCCTGGCCTTATCGAGTCGGTCACAACGCTCCGCGGACTAAACGAAAGAGGGACTACTCGTAGTCTAAGTAATATTATTCATGCTGCGTTTATGAAATCAACTTTCAGAACTCTTTTAACCATGTCGTCCTAAAATGAATTGACTCAGTTGTTAAATGCACAGGACCACGAAACTGGGTGTGGCTTGGTCGCATTCCTTGGAATCAGAAACCGAAGAACACCCATCAAAAACAACGATCATGATTGGTTCGTGCAATGAAAAACATTTATCATAATAAACAGCAGATTCTTAGAGGAGCTAAAAAAAGAAAGTCACAAGACTTCATTGTTTCGAGTTGCATTCCACGAAAACCTTGCTTTACTAGCTCGCTAGTCTCTGAAGACAACATGGATATCAAAACGTTGCTTCAAAATCTCCGTGAAGAAGTGTCTTGCTCGATGTGTTCCGACATATTTACTGATCCAAAACATCTGCCATGCTTACACAGTTTTTGTCTGCACTGCTTGAAACAATGGCATAAGACGAGCCATGGCCGCAACACAATCACATGCCCAAAGTGTCAAGCCGTTAGCAGAGTACCTGAAAGTAGCGATCTGAAAGATCTTCCAACCAGTTTTTACCTGAATGGTTTGATTGATGTGCTGGCTATTAAAGAGTGTAGAGACAGCCAAGTAAAATGTGGAAATTGTGAGAAGAAAAGCTCCGAGACTTCTTACTGTTTCCACTGTTGCATATTTTATTGTCAAGCGTGCATAACTGCCCACGACATCATGCGACGCAATAAAGATCACCGTGTTCTGGCGCTTGAAGACTTTCAAGACAAGGACTATGAAGATGTGCTGAAGCGGCCTGTGTTTTGTCCTAAACAGGGACATGCGGAAGAAGAACTGAAATTCTTTTGCAAGGACTGTGAAACGGCAGTTTGCCAAACTTGTGTCACATTAGGCCACAAAACCCATACAATGAACTTAATGCAAGAAGAAGCAGAAACACAGAAGATTCAGATGAAATCTATGGTTGAAACACAGAGGAACAGTTTAAAAGCAAAGATGAACATCATTCGTCAGCTTGATGAAGACTACGCTAAGCTCATACAACAAGGCGAAGACGTGAAGAGAGATGTTCAAAAAATTGTTGACAATTCGATTGCCGTCATTGAAGCGAAGAAGCAAAATATTTTCACAGCCNGAAGACTACGCTAAGCTCATACAACAAGGCGAAGACGTGAAGAGAGATGTTCAAAAAATTGTTGACAATTCGATTGCCGTCATTGAAGCGAAGAAGCAAAATATTTTCACAGCCGTCGAAAATCAAACAATGAAATCGCTAGAAAGTCTAACAAAGCGTAAGACCAAAATCGAGGAACAAATAGCGGTCATAGAATCATCGCTAGAAAAGGCTGAAAAATTTCTGATGAGAAGTACGGCTGAATTTGTACAACTCAAGAAATCATTGGAGATAATCTTCGAAGGAGTTGATCAAACCGGACCAATTGATGGTGACCCTGAAGGTCTTCTAGTGCGTTTAACTTTTGTGGAAAATCAAAAGTTTTTAAACACAGTCAACACCGAAGAAATTGGTTCTTTGGAAATTCCACACCAAACAAAAGCAAGTCAGTGCATCGCTGAAGGCAAAGGACTCCAAGAAGGAACTGTTGGAGGTGAAGCACAATTTGTTCTGACGACAAGAAATGCTCAAGGTAGAAAGTGTTTCAACAAACATGACCATGTAACAGTAGAGATCAGAGACGAACAAGGACGAGAATGCGTGACTGAAGTACGAATAAATGACAATAAGGATGGAAGCTGCAAGATCAGTTATTCTCCAAAAGAAACGGGCAGATACCAAGTGACAGTAAAATTAAACGGAGGGCATGTTCTCGGCAGTCCTTTCACTGTTAAAGTACAGCCATTTCAGGTCAGACCTGTATTATCTTTTGGAACTAATGGTTCCTCTGTTGGAATGTTTAACCTTCCCTGGGGGGTGGCAGTGACTGCCAAGGACGAGATAGCTATAACTGATTTTGGGAACAACAGAGTTCAAATCTTCAGCAGCGACGGAAATTACTTAAGATCCTTTGGTCGGCAAGGGAACAAAAACGGGGAATTTAATCATCCAGCGGGAATAGCATTTCATAGAAATGGAAACATTTTCGTAGTTGACAGTTCTAATTCAAGGATCCAGATTTTCAGAGGGGAGGGTGAGTACGTGGGTATGTTTGGTGGGAAGGGAAACCTTGATAGTCAGCTCTCTGTTCCTTGTGGTTTATCTGTAGACAGTGATGGAAATATCATTGTTGCTGATGGAGGAAACAAACTGATTAAGATCTTTTCTCCAGACGGCAGGTTTCTAATGAAGATGGGTGGGCAGGGTTCTTTTACTTATCCTTTGCACTGTGTTCAGTGTGATAGATATCTCATGGTGTCAGACTGCCAAGAACACTGCGTGAAAGTTTACGATCGGAATGGAAACTTTCAGTACCAGTTTGGAAACCAGGGTGGAGGGGACGGGGAGTTTAATAGGCCCCATTGTTTGTCAGTGAACAAGTCAGGACACCTGATGGTCTGTGATACAGGTAATCATAGAATACAACTATTTGAACTAAATGGAAAGTTTGTTGGCAAGTTTGGAACAAAGGGCTGTAATTTAGGAGAGTTGAAATCTCCATGGTCAGCGGCAGTTTTAAGTAATGGCCGAATTGTTGTGTGTCACATCGATAACCATCGTGTGCAGATATTTGAGTGAAACATAGTCTTCTCCGACATAAGCCTTATTATTTTGTCAGTCAAAACATTAGGTTAAGCTGATGATGAAGAAAAGAAATTCAACCACAGAAGGACAAAATATTACTATGTTCGTAATCCCAATGTAGAAAAAGGGGATTATTTTGTCAATTTTATATTGAAAGGTAGGAGGAAAAATGAGATTTGCACTGTTTTTGTAAGCAGTGAAGATGGATGAAAATATTCGCGAGTTCAAATTAAATTTCTGACAAGTATCCATTATTCCAAAATGTTTTTATATATTCTAGGGTATGATTTTTTGCTAGTATACACAATGTTTAATATTCAGCTTAAACCGCCAGAATAATATTTTCACTTTCGAACATATAAAGCATTACAGCATTTAATGATCTACTTTGCTATACTTTTCACAAGGTGATTGACAAGAAACTTTTATAAGGATTGTACTTAATTAGTCAGTTGATTGATTTACCAAATTTCTCAGCTTAATCAGTAATATGCATGGTGATATTGTTTAACCAATTTTAGTAATATGTTTGTATAGAGATATACAAGGCCTGGGAATGTACCATTGAAGCTTCAGTTAAAAATGGTGTATTAAAAACATAGGAATATACTGCAATGATGCATTTGAAGAATCGATTTAGTGTATGAAAAGAATATTTTATCTTGTATAAGAAATTGCCTGGTGTGGATAATTTAATTTGGGTAAAATAGTTTTACTTTTTTTACGTAAAGCTTGCTATCGGCTGATAGTCAGCGAGAGACGAAGCTTTATCTAAGCCATGCCAACTCAGTATCAAAGTCAATAGAAACCAAAACAAAGCTGTCTAACTGTTTTAGCATAATGCTACTGACCCATCTATCACAGGAAAAAAAAAATTATATTTCAGAAACTCCACGAAGCTATTTTGTAAGATTAATCCTCTACAAGCACCGTCTGTTAATCTTTAATCCCCCCCGATAGTCGATAAGAGGTTATGCTAATAATATCGTTAGTTTTGCGCCTATCAATAATTTAAAGTTATTCAATAATTTACTGTTTCTGTTGTTTTACCAACTGAATAACATTTTAGGAAAAAAGGTTTATATTTCATTGAAACAAGTTAATAGTTTCTAGCCGTTTCAAATTCTTGTGTAATTTTTATGTAAAGTTTTCAATAAAGATTGTTCGAGTCTTAATTGAAGTTGCTTTATACTTTGTGTATCATATGACTTTTGTACAGATACTATTTTGCATGCGCGCTGTTATATATTTTTCAAAACCTCCTTCTTTGTCGTAGTAAGGATATGACATTTGCTTCGTCATACAGCCGTAGGCTAAAGACAGGGTGAAGAACAGTTGAAGAGGCGAGTCAACCCAAAATCAATGGTCTAAGCGTGTAACGGTAGATTGAATTGTGATTAGAAGCTGCCGTTGTTTTGGAGCTAGGCGCATTTTTTGTGTTTTTTTTTTGTTCTGTTGTCCTCTTAAAGGGTATCTGAAAGCCATTCAATCATGTGAGACCTTGCGAGAGCTGCTACTTGACCCCTAGTACAACGACGACAATTGCAGTGACCGAAGAACAAAACAGATCAACCCAAGGCATCTGTTTATTAAGTGGCTGCTTAGAGAAATTCGTGTAAACGTACTTTTCTGCGGACTCCGAGGCAGTGTCCACACTACGCCAGAGAAGTTTGAAAAGGCAGCTTTATTTCTATGGTTAGACCTACCGTCCACACTAATCCGTCACCAAAACGGAGCTTTTCGAAAACGCTCTTCAACCGGAGCCGGAATCGTTTTCGTGTGGACGGATAACATTTTGAAAACGGATCTTGTCGAAAACGATGACGTCACGATAATCATGTGATTTTCCTGACCGCGTTTTCCTCAAACACAAATCCAAAATGACCGGTGATTGTTGCGTTTTTAAATTCCTCTTGCGTAGTGTGGACGGAAAACATTTGATGCGTTTTCAGAGTGAAACCTCGTTTTCAAATTTCTCCGGCGTAGTGTCGACGGGGCCTGGTGCCGTTTGCTCGTCGCTTGGTAAATTCACATTACCGGTTGCACCTGATTTGTGTGACTATGGCGGCAACAACGGCTAAAAACACGCCTCGTACAACAGCAGCAACAGAATTTGAAAACAAGTTTCCTAAATTCAGGGCTCAAAAATGCGTAAATAGTAGGGTTTAGGCACGAGCTTGATATCTGCGCTAGGTAACACCAGATACGAAGAGCGAAGTTGTTTTCACTTCTAACTCCATAGACGTTCAGTAAATCCACCCAAAACGTCGGCCCCCAGCAAAGGACAAATCCAAGAACTGCAACGACCATTAAACGAGTTGATTTCACTTTACACTTGGCAACTGCTCCGTGAATTGTTCCATTTTTGCTTCTTTTCCACAAACTAACGGCAATCTTTGTGTAGGTGAGGAACATGTACATTAATGGAATAACAAACGCCAGCAAAAAGTAGATTGTTTTGGATAGCTGAGTTTTCCATGTTGAAGGCAAATCACAGAAGCTATATTCTTTACAAGTTTCCGTGCCGTTGTTCCCTTTAGAGCAAATTACTTCAGTGTGTGTCCTAACGCTATAAATAAAAGGAACAGACGTTATGAAGGCGTAAATCCAAATGGCAGCAACCAGATTAAAATACGTCTTCAAATGTCTCGGCGCCAAGCTATCGAAAGGTCGTAAGACGTTTCTGTGTCGATCCCAGGCGATCGCGACCAAACTGTTAAAAATGGCCGCGGCGCATGCGTAGTTGATGAGTACGAGAGCCTTGCATGATGAAGAGTTGCCCTTGGAGAATTGAATGTTCCAAAATATTGGAACAGTCAAGTGAAACAGTAGATGCGTGGCAGACAAATGGAAAATCAGAAAGCTTGAAATATTCTGCCGTATCTTGCCACTCCGAACCATAACAAAGACCACCATGATGTTGAGAACTCCACCACATAAAAGTAACGCGTAGTAAGCGACTCTCCATAAGAAAACGTAGTCTGTGCGATAGAGACGCGGTGATGAAGAATTTTTTTCACTTGTGTTACTCCAGCTTTCTACAGTGTGATTCATTTTCGTGTCTTCAATTGATTGTCCTTTGAGTTTCGTCTCGAACCCACCGATTAGCAGAACGCGAGAAAACGCTGTTATCCGACTCAAAATCTTGAAATTTCACGCTTTTCTCTACCAAACGTCGTTGATTAAATGCAAGCCTTATAGCCCCTTGAAATAGCTCGTCTGATGAAAGCCATATTAATTTTCTCTTAATGTTCCGGACACAGGTTGGTGTGCAGCTAAATCAATAAAACCCACTGCGAAAAATCAAGAGTTTGATTACAACGAACGGCAAAAAGGAAACTTTGGGACAAGTACAATGAAAATCAATTATAAAGCCCCCGGTCTGTCTTTTTACGGTAAAATATATTTATTTTTCATTTCTGCATTCTCTTTCTTGTCAAATTTGAGTAAATAACAGAAATAACCTAAGCATTATCATTTGTCACCTCATTATTCAATGCGTATTTTTTGCTAAGAGTTTGCTATTACACAAGGTGTGTGCTCTGTTTAAAATGAGTTTTTGCCGCCATCAAACAAAACTATAACATCGTAATGGTAAAAAACTAACAGGAAAACCAACCTGTTCTACTCGTTTAAATCGTCGTTTGAGAGATTCAAAGTGCTCTTATAACCTTACGAGGCTTTGATGGAGTATCTTGAAGAGAAGACAATTAAAGACTTTTCCATTGCAGACAAAAGGAAAACTTATTTCCATCAACATATCAACATTGTTTGACCTCAAGGAACATGTCCAATAGGTGGTCTCAAACAGGGATTTTATTAATTACCTTCACCAGTAATTTCGTCAACGGCTGCCGATTGGTTAATACTGGTCTCGTGATCACGTGATCTGATCCTGTGCACGGGTTCTCTCGGAAATCAGACAGGTGTACAATTTTGCCCTCACTACACAACCGAACACAGTCAAAGGTTGAGGTATGGGCGCGTTGGTCAGCCAGGCCCGAGATATGTTTTAATTGCGACAATAGGCTTGCATCAAAGTGGATAAGGGATATATCAAGTAACGCCCTACATGCGCCTAAGCCGGACACGTAAACCGCAAAAAACCTCTTGTTAGGAAAAATAAGGACCGTGTACCCCCGACCAAATGCAGTGGCGCCACCTTTGGGGTTTTAAGGTTGATCTATAAACAACAGAATGAAAAAACAAATCATATAACGCTAATTACACCATAAAAATAAACCTTATGCGAAAGTGCTAGTGGCAAGGCTGACCGTAGAATGTCACAAGTTTCTCAAGCGTTTCTTTATACAAACGTACTATCCATGAGCCTTCTGTTGAAGACCTAAATGTAATAACTGAGCTTAAATGTAATAAACTCCTAAATGTAATAACATTTGGCCTTAAATGTAATAAACTCCTAAATGTAATAACATTTGGCCTTAAATGTAATAACACCTAANCAAAGACTTTCAAGACAAGGACTATGAAGATGTGTTAAAGCGGCCTGTGTTTTGTCCTAAACAGGGACATACGGAAGAAGAACTGAAATTCTTTTGCAAGGACTGTGAAACGGCAGTTTGCCAAACTTGTGTCACATTAGGCCACAAAAGCCATACAATGAACTTAATCCAAGAAGAAGCAGAAACACAGAAGATTCAGATGAAATCTATGGTCGAAAAACAGAGGAATAATTTAAAAGCAAAGATGAACATTATTCGCCAGCTTGATGAAGACTACGCTAAGCTCATACAACAAGGCGAAGACGTGAAGAGAAATGTTCAAAAAATTGTTGACAATTTGATTGCCGTCATTGAAGAAAAGAAACAAAATATTTTCTCATCCGTAGAAAACCAAACGACCAAATCGCTTGAAAGTCTGACAAAGCGTAAGAACAAGATCCAGGAACAAACAGCGGTCATAGAATCGTCGTTAGAAAAGGCTGAAAAACTTTTAACGCGCAGTATAAACGCTGAAGTTTTACAAGTTAAGAAATCATTGGACATCACATTCGAAGGAGTTGATCGAACCGAGCCAACTGATGATGACTCTGGAGGTCTTCTAGTGCGTTTAACTTTCGCGGAAAATCAAAAAATCTTAAATACTGTCAACACCGAAGAAATTGGCTTTTTGGAAATTCTGCACCAAACAAAAGAAAGTCAGTGCATCGCTGAAGGCAAAGGACTCGAAGAAGGAACTGTTGGAGGTGAAGCACAATTTGTTATGACGACAAGAAACGCACAAGCAAGACAGTGCTACAACAAACATGACCGTGTAACGGTAGAAATCAGGGATGAACAAGGACGAGAATGCGCGACGGGAATACGAATAAAGGACAATAGAGATGGAAGCTACAAAGTCAGCTATTCTCCAAAAAAACAAGGCAGATACAAAGTAACAGTAAAAGTAAACGGAGGACATGTTCTCGGCAGTCCTTTCACTGTTAAAGGACAGCTATTTCAGGTCAGACATGTTTTATCTTTTGGCACACAAGGTACGCCTGTTGGAATGTTTAATAATCCCTGGGGAGTGGCAGTGAATGCCCGGGACGAGATAGCTGTAACCGATAATGGGAACAACAGAGTTCAAATCTTCAGCAGTGATGGAAATTACTTAAGATCCTTTGGTCGGGAAGGTAACAAAAACGGGGAATTTAATAATCCAAGGGGAATAGCATGTCATAAAAATGGAAATATTTTCGTGGCTGACAGTGGCAATGCTAGGATCCAGATTTTCAGTGGGGAGGGTGAGTACGTAAGTTCGTTTGGTGGGAAGGGAAGCCTTGATATTCAGCTCTCTAATCCTTGGGGTTTATCTGTAGACAGTGATGAAAATGTTATTGTCGCTGATGCAGGTAACAAAGTGATTAAGATCTTTTCTCCTGAAGGCAAGTTTTTAATGAAGATAGGTGGGCAGGGTTCTTTTACTTTTCCTATCCACTGTGTTCAGTGTGATAGATATCTCATAGTGTCAGACTAAAAAGAACAATGTATAAAAGTTTAAAAAAGAAATGGAAACTTTCAGTACAAGTTTGGAAAAAAGGGAGGAAGGAACGGAGAGTTTAAAAATCCAAGTTGTTTGTCAGTGAACAAGTCAGGACACCTGATGGTCTGTGATTTAGGTAATAATAGAATACAAGTATTTCATCTAAATGGAACGTTTTTAGGCAAGTTTGGAACAAAAGGAGGTAATTTAGGAGAATTCCAATCTCCACTGTCAATGGCAATTCTAAGTAATGGCCGAATTGTTGTGTCTGACTATAGTAACCATCGTATGCAGATATTTGAGTGAAACGATGTCTGCTCCAGCTTATGATAAGTGCCATTATTTTGTTGTTAAAGCATTAGGTTTAGCTGATGATGAAGAAAAGAAATTCAACCATAGAAGGTCAAAATATTTCTATGTCCGTAATCCCAATGTAGAAAAAGGTGAGTATTTTTTTTCCACGAAGCCATTTTCAATGATTTATCATGACCAGCTCTACAAGTTCCGTCTTTCAATCTCTGGACGGCCCCTGTGAAAACAAAATCATAGCGTGTTTACCTGATATTCCTGTTGATAGTCGATTAGAGGTTATGCTAATAATTGTTATTTATGTTTATATCAATTAATCAACTTCCCCTTGCTTCTCTTAAAACAAAGACAACAACAACTTTGTGTGGCTGAAAATGGGGAAGTGGGTGACAGAGTGCTCAGTTAATATTTTAGCCCTATGAACCCCTGGAGTGTCAAGAAAACAAAACCTACAGCTCAAGGAGATGTAGACAGTGGATGGAGAGAAGGGAGCAGGCCTTCACTGAGGGCCACTGTAAACATTCCTGGGTAGAGAGGAGGGAGTGGGTTTCCTCTCTGACTGGAGGGAGTGGGCCTCCACTAACCTAACTCCAGGGAGTAAAATTGGAGGTAGTTGGCCTTCGAAAATCGAGTCTATGGAGGCAAGAGTGTGACGAGAGGAGCACTTCATCCCCATTCCCGTGTTTATTTGACCAACCTAAACAGAACTTGCAAAGAACGGTAACAATATAAAAAAGTATAAATTGTGAATTATGATCTCAAGTATCTATTACGGGACTGGCAGAGTGTTCTAATCTACATAAAAAAACCTAAGCGAGGTACTTAGTTTCTATAGTTCGTTCAGATAAGTAACATACTTAAGTGTCTCTGAGAATCGTAAAGATCCTTCAATAAATTGACATGTCGAAACCACCTCAAATGTGGTATGTATTTGCTCTAAAAGTTATAAATGTTCGTTTTGGTAGGTTTAATTCGAGTGTACACAAAGAAACCTCAAAAGAGGTGCTTGTTCTAAGAGTTCCATTGCTCATCTTAACAATTAACGCATCTATTAAATACAACTAAAAGCGGTGCTTGAACCCTCAAGGTTTACATGTTATGCCAGGGGTTTTTATTAATTGTGTACATGACAACCTAGGGGTAAAACTGATGTCGTCCTACAATTTAAGTTGTATTACAAAATATCCTTGATGATTGGAAAAGCCCTTAGGCAAACTATATTATTATGAAGACCTATGAGCGAGCAAGTGCTTTGGGTGGGTGGGTGGAAATAGAAAATATTCTGGACAAAATGTCGCACTGTAGTCTATCCCGTGTGAGAGTAAAAGACAGTGGCCAAATTTAGCAAGCACGTATCAAGGTGCTAAAGTTCGCTCTGATTGGGTGGTTTTCAGGATTCCCACGTGAGGTTATCCAAGGTCGATGAATGGATGATTAGCAAAGCACATAGCTCAAAATGGAAACAAGAGTTGTTGATTAACTGAAATTTATTTCATATGTTCAATAGATTGTGATTATTATTCAATACTTTGCTGTTTCTATNAGCAAAGCACATAGCTCAAAATGGAAACAAGAGTTGTTGATTAACTGAAATTTATTTCATATGTTCAATAGATTGTGATTATTATTCAATACTTTGCTGTTTCTATTGTTTCACTATAAATAACACTTGAGGAAAAAAGTTCTACCATTTTATTGAAACAACTAAATAGTTTCTAGCTGGTGGAAATACTTGAGTAATTTTTGTGAGGTTTTCAATAAAGTTTGTTTGAGTCTTAACTGAAGTTGCTCTATACTTTGTGTATATGACTTGCGTAAAGATATTATATTACATGCTTTTGTATATTTTTCAAAACGTCTGTCTTTCTAGTAACACGAACATGACATTTGTTTCGTAATAAAGCAATAGGTTGAAGACAGGGTAAAGCACAGTTGAAGACTTCAACTAAATTACGCGAGTCAATTCAAAAGTAATAGTTCTAGCATAGTTAATAGTATAGAGGGAAATGGTTATGAAACTCGACAAAGTTCTTTGTTGTATGTTTTTGTTCTCTGTTTTGGCCTTGACCGTGCAAAACAACACAATACTTGTTTACTACTGACCGAGGAACTAACCAATAGAAACGTATAGGTCAATTAATTCATGCATAGTGTATGAAAGCAAAACAAAAGATTGTGCGCGGTCGTAGACCTTCCAACATAAATCTTGGCATCTTTGTTTGCTCCATTGATGTTTCCCCGGGCTTTATAACCATTCCCCTCTATTAACTATGGTTCTAGCGTGTAACGCAAAATTGATTTGTAATTATTAAAGATTTCAGACAAGAGATAATATTGAGCATAGTAATAACAATATCTGAAACATTTCGAGCGATATAAGCCTGGCCATTCTTAGGTTCGTTTTGCCATTTGAGCCTGAAAATATCTGTTGAGATGTTCTTGAGTTACATGTATTGGCATTTCAGTGAATAATGCGTGGCTGACCAGGAACTTATTAAAGTGCTTAAGTTTTTTTGCTTGTTAGCAGCTGTTATTGTTTTGGAGCTAGGGGCATTGTTTCTGTTGTTTGTTCTATTGTCCTCTCAACGAGCATCAAGCCATTCATGTGAGACCTTACAAGAGCTGCTACCCTACCCCTAGTAAAACGACGACAATTGCAATGACCGAAGAACAAAACAGATCGACTCAAGGCGTCCGTTTATGAGGTGGCTGCTTAGAGGAATTAATGTCAACGTACTTTTCTGCAGCGTCCACTCTAATACGCGGGAGAAATTTGAAAACGCAGCTTTATTTCTACGGTAAGGCCTACCGTCCACACAAATCCGTCACGAAAACGGAGCTTGTCAAAAACGCTTTTAAAACCGGAGTGATCTGAAAACGCCGGTGTTTTAATTTCGTGTGGACGGAAAAGCTTTTCGAAAACGATGGCGTCGCGATAATCCTGTGATATCCCTGATATTTGATGCGTTTTCAGAGTGACGTCACCGTTTTCAAATTATTTGGGCGTGGTGTGGACTGGGCCTGAAGCTGTTTGTTAGTCGCTTGGTAGCCATTCACATGGTCGCTTGCACCTGATTTACATGGCTACGGTGGCGACAACGGGTACAACCACATCCCGTATAACAGCAGTAACAGAATTTGAAAACAAGTTTGCTAAATTCAGGGGTAAAAAATGCGAAAATAGTAGGGTTTAGGCACGAGCTTGATATCTGCGCTAGGTAACACCAGATACGAGGGGCGAAGTTGTTTTCACTTGTAACTCCATAGACATTCAGTAACTCCACCCAAAACGTCGGCCCCCAGCAAAGGACAAATCCAAGAACTTCAACGACCATTAAACGAGTTGATTTCACTTTACACTTGGCAACTGCTCCGTAAATTGTTCCATTTTTGCTTCTTTTCCACAAACTAACGGCAACCTTTGTGTAGGTGAGGAACACGTACATTAATGGAATAACAAACGCCAGCAAAAAGTAGATTGTTTTGGATAGCTGGGTTTTTCAATCTGAAGGCAAATCACGGAAGCTATATTCTCTACAAGTTTCCGTGCCGTTGTCCTCTTTAGAGCAAATTACCATAGGTATTGACGTTATGAAGGCGTAAATCAAAATGGCAGCAACCCGTTTAAAATACGTCTTTAAATGTCTCGGCACTAAGCTATCAAAAGGTCGTAAGACGTTTCTGTGTCGGTCCCAGGCGATCGCGACCAAACTGTTGAAAATGGCTCAGTGCGGCGCAGGCGTAGTCGATGAGCACGAGAAACTTGCATGATGAAGAGTTGCCCTTGGAGAACTGAATGTTCCAAAAACTTGGAACGCTCAAGTGAAGCAGTAGATGCGTGAAAGACAAATGGAAAATCAGAAAGCTTCAAATATTCTGCCGTATCTTACCACTTCGAAACATGACAAAGACAACCATGATGTTGAGAACAGCACCACATAAAAGCAACGCGTAGTATGTGACGTCAAATATGTAAACATAGTCTTTACGATAGAGACACGGTGATGAACAATTTTTATCACTTGTGCTACTCCAGCTTTTTATTGTCTGATTCATTTCACGTTTTCAATTGATTTTCTCCTGTGTTTTGCCTTCAACGCCCTGACTGGCAGGAGACGAGAAAACGGTGTTGTTTGACTCAAAATCTTGAAATTCCGCACTTTTCTCTACCAAAACATAATAAGCTCTGTTGGTTAAATGCAAGCCTTAACCCCTTGAGATAGCGTGTATTATGAAAGCCATATAAATTTTCTCTTAATGTTCCGGACACAGGCTGGTGAACAGCTAAGTCAATAAACCCACTGCGAAAAATAAAGAGTTTGATTACAACGAACGGCAAAAAGGAAGCTTTTGGACAAGCACAATGAAAGTCAATTACAAAGCCGCCGGTCTGTCTTTTACGGTCAAATATATATATTTTTTATTTCTGCATTCTCTGTCTTACAATATTTTAGAAAATAATAGAAATAACCTATAAGTGTATTTTTTCGCTGAGAGTTTTCTATCACACAAGGCGTGTGCGCTGTTTAAAATGAGTTTTTGCCGTCGTCAAACAAAACTACAACATCGTAATGGTCAAAAACTAACTGGAAAGCCAACTTGTTCTACTCTCCTAAATCGTAGTCTGAGAGATTCGTAAAAGCTGCAATATTCATATACCGTGAGATCTCCCAAGAATATTTCTGTATTTTATTTTCTGGAACAGAAAGGAGACCCTTAATAACCAGGTGACCGTATCAACTGGGCAAGTGTCCGCAAAAACCCGGAAAGAGGCCGTATCAAACGGCAGGTGTACTTATTATCCTGGAAGTGACCGGAGCGACTGCGTATCTACCGTTTCAACCGGGCAAATGTACGTTTTAAATGTGGAGGTTTATGTATCAACCCGGCAGGTTCCCGTATCTACAAGGTAAGTGGCCGTACCCTCCGGGCAGATGTACGTATCAACCGGGCAGGTGTGCGTATTAACCGGGCAAGTGTCTGTATCGACCGGGCAGGTTTCCGCATCGAACAGGCAGGTGTACATATCAACCGAGCCAGTGACTGTATCAACAAGACAGGTACACATAACTTGGCGGGTATCCGTATCAACCGAGCAGCTGTCCGTAACGCAGGTGTCCGTAACTTATCGTGTTGAAATAAAGGCTATCTACCTACCTACCTAACTACCTAACTACCTATCTAACGCGGTGTGCTGCACTCCTTTTTACGTATTTTGTGTATGAGGCATCAGAGTAGAGGCATCAGTAGTGCACTCAGCGCAAAACTTTTTAATGGTATAAGTTAAATTCTCAAACAGTAACTAACCAATCACAAAGCATAATGCATCGGCACTTGGAAATAAGCTGGTAGACGTCAACCTGTGGCTACTTATCAGACGCTTTTCTCTCCTTTGCCCTTTGTAAACAGGCAACCTAACAGGGCGGCTTGAAGAGAGGGTGTACACTGTAAATCCCATTCCTCAACCCAGTTTGTGCCCAGATCCAATCCCAGGCTATTTATGCCGGAAGTCCAGTCCAATTCTCATTTTTAGTTTGTTATTCCCAGTCCCCGTGGCCCAAATCNGATGGCGACCCTAAAGGTCTTCTAGTGCGTTTAACTTTCGCGGAAAATCAAAAGCTGGTAAACATTGTGAACTCCGAAGAAATTGGTTCTTTGGAAATTATGCACCAAACAAAAGCAAGTCAGTGCATCGCTGAGGGCAAAGGACTCGAGCAAGGTACTGTTGGAGGTGAAGCACAATTTGTTCTGACGACAAGAGACGCTCAAGCAAGACAGTGTTACAACAAACACGACCGTGTAACGGTAGAGATCAGTAATGAACAAGGACGAGAATGCGCGACGGAAGTACGAATAAATGACAATAAGGATGGAAGCTACACGATCAGCTATCCTCCAAAAGAACAAGGCAGATACAAAGTGACAGTAAAAGTAAACGGAGGACATGTTCTCGGCAGTCCTTTCACCGTTGAAGGACAGCCATTTCAGGTCAGACCTGTATTATCTTTTGGAAAATTTGGTTCGTCTGCTGGAATGTTTCAGAAACCCTGGGGGGTGGCAGTGAATGCCAGGGACGAGATAGCTGTAACTGATTGTGAGAACCACAGAGTTCAAATCTTCAGTAGTGATGGAAATTACTTAAGATCCTTTGGTCGGCAAGGGGTTCAACCCGGGGACTTTAAGTTTCCAAGGGGAATAGCATTTCATGAAAATGGAGATATTTTCGTGGTTAACAGTGGAAAAAATAGGATAGACATTTTCAGTGGGGATGGTAAGTACGTAGGTTCGATTGGTGGGTATGGAAGTTTTGATAGTCAGCTCTCTGATCCTCATGGTTTATCTGTAGACAGTGATGGAAATGTTATTGTTGCCGATACAGGTAACAAACTTATTAAGATCTTTTCTTCTCAAGGCAAGTTTCTAATGAAGATAGGTGAGCAAGGTTCTTTTACTTTTCCTTTCCACTGTGTTCAGTGTGATAGATTTCTTATAGTGTCAGACTTCGGTGAACATTGTCTGAAAGTTTACGACAGGACTGGAAACTTTCAGTACAAAATTGGAAAGCACGGTGGAGGGCACGGGGAGTTTATTTATCCACATTGTTTGTCAGTGAACAAGTCAGGACACCTGATGGTCTGTGATTACCACAATAAGAGAATACAAGTATTTACTCTAAATGGAAAGTTTGTTGGCAAGTTTGGATCAAAGGGCAGAAATTTAGGAGAGTTCAAATCTCCATGGTCTTTGGCAGTTCTAAGTAATGGCCGAATTGTTGTGTCTGACTGTTATAACCATCGTATGCAGATATTTGAGTGAAACGATGTCTGCTTCAACTTATGATAAGTGTCATTATTTTGTTGTTAAAGCATTAGCCTCGGCTTAGCTGATGATGAAGAAAAGAAATTCAACCACACAAGGACAAAATATTACTATGTCCGTAATCCCAATGAAGGTGATTATTTTGTCAATTTTACATTAAAACACACACCGTCGGAAAATCACAATTGTCGTCTTTTTGTAAGCAGTGCAGATGGATGAAAATATCCGCGAGTTCCAATCAATTTTTTGAGAAGTATACATTATTCCAAAAAGTTAATATTCCAAGTTGTGATTTTGAGCTAGTATACAATGTTAATATTCTCCGCCTAAACCGCCAGAATAATATTTTTTCTTTCAAACATATCAGCCATCACAACATTTAATGTTTGATTTTGCTATAGTCTTTATTCGGTAATTGACAAGCAATCGTTTATAAGGATTGTATTTAACTAGTCAGTTGTTTGATTTTCCAAATTTCTCAGCTTGATCGATAAGCTGATGTATGCATGGTGATATTGTTTAACCAATTTTAGTAATATTTTTGTAGAGAGGTATTCAAGGCCTGTGAATGCACCATTGAAGTTGGAGCTAAAAATGGTAAATTTAAAACATAGGAATATTGTGCAGTGCACCTGAAGATTTGATTTAGTGTGTAAAAACATATTTTATCCGGTATAAGAAATAACATAGCCTGGTGGGGGTAATTTAATTTGTGTAATTAACAAATCGAATGTGGTTTAGCGTTCTCTGTACTCTTATGATCTCTCATCGACAATGATATGCGTCATCACAGCGGTCAAAATGTTGTGGACTGACGAGGCGCAGCCGAGTGAGTCCACAACAAATTTCAACGTCAAAGAAAATGTTTTTTTCAGAGCGTGACCAAAAGCGTGACACATTGACACGAGTAGTTTGTCTGGACTCTTATCGACAACGACAAATTAGCCAGATTAGTAGCAATTGTGGTAAAAGTTAGCATAACCTACCGACCGATCTATCACACAGAAAATAGGTTTTATTTCAGAAACTCCACGAAGCCATTTTCAAAGATTTATCATGACCGGCTCTACAAGTTCAGTCTATCAATCTCTAGACGGCCCCCTGTGAAAATAATATCATTGTGTGTTTCCTGATAGTCGATTAGAGGTTATGCTAATAATCATTAGTTTTGTTTATATCATTATTATTCAATAATTTGCTGTTTCTATTGTTCTACTAAACATAACATTTGAGAAAAAAAAGTTCTACCTTTTTACTGAAAGAACAAAATAGTTTCTAGCTGTTGGAAATACTTGAGTACGTTTTATGTGAGGTTTTCAATAAAGTTTGTTTGAGTCTAACTGAAGTTGCTTTATATTTTGTGTATATGACCTGTGTACAGCTATTATTTTGCATGCCGTTGCATATTTTTCAAAACGTCTGTCTTTCTAGTAACACGAACATGACATTTGTTTCGTAATACAGCAATAGGCTGAAGACAGGTAGACTACGAGTAGTCCCTCTTTCGCTTAGTCCTTCGCTCATGACGCGAAAGGAAACTGCGAGAAAAATGCCCGCTCGAATTCGCGCGGCCATTTTTTTCTCGCGGTTTTCTTTCGCGTCACGGACAACGGACTAAGCGAAAGAGGGACTACTCGTAGTCTAGAAGACAGGGTAAAGTACAGGTGAAGACTTCAAATAAATTACATGAGTCAATTCAAAATTAATAGCTCTAGCGTGTAACGCAAGATTGATTTGTAATTATGATTGATTTCGGACGAGAGATAATATTGTGCATAGTAATAGCAATATCTGAAACATTTTGAGCGAGAAAAAGCCTGGCCGTTCTTAGGTTTGTTTTGCTATTTGCGCCTGAAAATATCTGTCGAGATGTTCTTGAGTTACATGTATTGGCATTTCAGTGAATAATGCGTGAGTGCCCAGGAACTTATCAAAGTGCTTAATTATTTTGCTTGTTAGCAGCTGTTATTGTTTTGGAGCTAGGGGGCATTGTTTCTGTTGTTTGTTCTATTATCCTCTTAAAGGGTATCAAGCCATTCATGTGATACCTTACAAGAGCTGCTACCCGACCCCTAGTACAACGACGACAATTGCAATGACAGAAGAACAAAACAGATCAACTCAAGGCGTCCGTTTATGAGGTGGCTGCCTACAGAAATTAATGTCAACGTACTTTTCTGTAGCGTCCACTCTAGTGCGCCGGAGAAATTTGAAAACGCAGCTTTATTTCTACGGTTAGGCCTACCGTCCACACTAATCCGTCACGAAAACGGAGCTTGTCAAGAACGCTTTTAAAACCGGAGTGATCTGAAAACGCCGGTGTTTTAATTTCGTGTGGACGAAAAAGCTTTTCGAAAACGATGGCGTCGCCATAATCCTGTGATATCCCTGATATTTGATGCGTTTTCAGAGTGACGTCACCGTTTTCAAATTGTTTGGGCGTGGTGTGGACTGGGCCTGAAGCTGTTTGTTAGTCGCTTGGTAGCCATTCACATGGTCGCTTGCACCTGATTTACATGGCTACGGTGGCGACAACGGGTACAACCACATCCCGTATAACAGCAGTAACAGAATTTGAAAACAAGTTTGCTAAATTCAGGGGTAAAAAATGCGAAAATAGTAGGGTTTAGGCACGAGCTTGATATCTGCGCTAGGTAACACCAGATACGAGGGGCGAAGTTGTTTTCACTTGTAACTCCATAGACATTCAGTAACTCCACCCAAAACGTCGGCCCCCAGCAAAGGACAAATCCAAGAACTTCAACGACCATTAAACGAGTTGATTTCACTTTACACTTGGCAACTGCTCCGTAAATTGTTCCATTTTTGCTTCTTTTCCACAAACTAACGGCAACCTTTGTGTAGGTGAGGAACACGTACATTAATGGAATAACAAACGCCAGCAAAAAGTAGATTGTTTTGGATAGCTGGGTTTTTCAATCTGAAGGCAAATCACGGAAGCTATATTCTCTACAAGTTTCCGTGCCGTTGTCCTCTTTAGAGCAAATTACCATAGGTATTGACGTTATGAAGGCGTAAATCAAAATGGCAGCAACCCGTTTAAAATACGTCTTTAAATGTCTCGGCACTAAGCTATCAAAAGGTCGTAAGACGTTTCTGTGTCGGTCCCAGGCGATCGCGACCAAACTGTTGAAAATGGCTCAGTGCGGCGCAGGCGTAGTCGATGAGCACGAGAAACTTGCATGATGAAGAGTTGCCCTTGGAGAACTGAATGTTCCAAAAACTTGGAACGCTCAAGTGAAGCAGTAGATGCGTGAAAGACAAATGGAAAATCAGAAAGCTTCAAATATTCTGCCGTATCTTACCACTTCGAAACATGACAAAGACAACCATGATGTTGAGAACAGCACCACATAAAAGCAACGCGTAGTATGTGACGTCAAATATGTAAACATAGTCTTTACGATAGAGACACGGTGATGAACAATTTTTATCACTTGTGCTACTCCAGCTTTTTATTGTCTGATTCATTTCACGTTTTCAATTGATTTTCTCCTGTGTTTTGCCTTCAACGCCCTGACTGGCAGGAGACGAGAAAACGGTGTTGTTTGACTCAAAATCTTGAAATTCCGCACTTTTCTCTACCAAAACATAATAAGCTCTGTTGGTTAAATGCAAGCCTTAACCCCTTGAGATAGCGTGTATTATGAAAGCCATATAAATTTTCTCTTAATGTTCCGGACACAGGCTGGTGAACAGCTAAGTCAATAAACCCACTGCGAAAAATAAAGAGTTTGATTACAACGAACGGCAAAAAGGAAGCTTTTGGACAAGCACAATGAAAGTCAATTACAAAGCCGCCGGTCTGTCTTTTACGGTCAAATATATATATTTTTTATTTCTGCATTCTCTGTCTTACAATATTTTAGAAAATAATAGAAATAACCTATAAGTGTATTTTTTCGCTGAGAGTTTTCTATCACACAAGGCGTGTGCGCTGTTTAAAATGAGTTTTTGCCGTCGTCAAACAAAACTACAACATCGTAATGGTCAAAAACTAACTGGAAAGCCAACTTGTTCTACTCTCCTAAATCGTAGTCTGAGAGATTCGTAAAAGCTGCAATATTCATATACCGTGAGATCTCCCAAGAATATTTCTGTATTTTATTTTCTGGAACAGAAAGGAGACCCTTAATAACCAGGTGACCGTATCAACTGGGCAAGTGTCCGCAAAAACCCGGAAAGAGGCCGTATCAAACGGCAGGTGTACTTATTATCCTGGAAGTGACCGGAGCGACTGCGTATCTACCGTTTCAACCGGGCAAATGTACGTTTTAAATGTGGAGGTTTATGTATCAACCCGGCAGGTTCCCGTATCTACAAGGTAAGTGGCCGTACCCTCCGGGCAGATGTACGTATCAACCGGGCAGGTGTGCGTATTAACCGGGCAAGTGTCTGTATCGACCGGGCAGGTTTCCGCATCGAACAGGCAGGTGTACATATCAACCGAGCCAGTGACTGTATCAACAAGACAGGTACACATAACTTGGCGGGTATCCGTATCAACCGAGCAGCTGTCCGTAACGCAGGTGTCCGTAACTTATCGTGTTGAAATAAAGGCTATCTACCTACCTACCTAACTACCTAACTACCTATCTAACGCGGTGTGCTGCACTCCTTTTTACGTATTTTGTGTATGAGGCATCAGAGTAGAGGCATCAGTAGTGCACTCAGCGCAAAACTTTTTAATGGTATAAGTTAAATTCTCAAACAGTAACTAACCAATCACAAAGCATAATGCATCGGCACTTGGAAATAAGCTGGTAGACGTCAACCTGTGGCTACTTATCAGACGCTTTTCTCTCCTTTGCCCTTTGTAAACAGGCAACCTAACAGGGCGGCTTGAAGAGAGGGTGTACACTGTAAATCCCATTCCTCAACCCAGTTTGTGCCCAGATCCAATCCCAGGCTATTTATGCCGGAAGTCCAGTCCAATTCTCATTTTTAGTTTGTTATTCCCAGTCCCCGTGGCCCAAATCCTCTTTTTCTAGAGAAAAAAAAACAAAACTGCCATCCAAATTACACTTTCCATTTCACCTATTAAGATCCCTCTCAAAATAAAAATATGACACAGACCGCACGATAAAGTAAAGGAAAATATCAGCAGTAGTT